GCCGCCACCCGCCTCATCATCATCTCGCCGGAGATTTTCATACAAAGTCAAGGGTTCAAAGATTTTCTCTCCCGAATCCGAGATAACATATCTGGTAGAGGCAACCTCTATCCTATCCTTAGCATTATCAACAGAATTTTTCTTTTTCTTTGTTTTCTTTGTTTTTGATGACGATGGTTCTTGTGATGAAGTTTCTATCTCTGACCTGACAGACTGAAAATTCTGATATATAGTCTGTTTGGAAGCGTTCTGAATCTGTTTTATCACTTTCTTGGAGGATTTGCTCCACGCTGTATCCCATCGATCTTTGGTAGATGAAGAAGATCCCTCTGCAGTATCTTTTTTTCCATGCCCACACGTCAGGGGGAGCTGTGTTTCCAATCGGACCTTCTCCAAGCATTCATCAGAACCAGAGATCTCTCTACATTCTTCTCTGCATCCGACAATTCTTGTAGCTTCTGTTATACCTCGCTTTTTCCCTATGCAGGCGCCGCCAGCCAGTTGTCAAAATCAACTTCTGCAGCCTTTGCTGTGCCTCAATTTTTTCCCTGTGTAGGTGTCTGGTTCACTATACCATTGCGATTTCAGCGATTTTCTCTGCACATGCATTTGGGCAACTGCAGGCTTGCTTTTTCAGCAAACAACAGACATTATTTTCTCTTTCTAGTAGAAATTTTGGTTTGTAAATGGGATTTGTTTTTTCTCTCCAGTGTAAATCACAGAAGACCTCCAATTGAAATTCCAGTTTTCACTCTCTGGTGGAAATCGTTGTCCCCCGCAGAACCACACAGAGAACTGACTTTCTTGCGGGCTCTCTCATGGTTGTTATCCCTGCAGTTTTTTAGTCGCAGCCCCTTCCTGCGAGATATTCCAGCTGTCGGACCTTCTAATTTCCTTCCAGGACCGTCGAGGCACCTTCCAACAGCGGGACTTATCCTCTGATGGCTTTCATGCCACTGGAACTCTCTCATGTAGTCATTCCTGCCGGTGAAATTCCCTCCTGCAGCCTTTTCTATCGCCAGAAATTTCTGCGGACATATCTGCTGTCGACTGAACCTTCGGGCTTACTCTTGCAGTCGGTTCTCTCCCATGCAGCCTTTCCCGTCATTGGACCTTCCTCATGCAGCTTTTCTCGCGTCGGATCTACCTCAACAAAATTTTCCCTGCTGATTTTATTTTGGCCAGCTCTTCACAAGAAAAACACTGCTCTTTCCTGCAGCATTATTGCAGCCTTCTCCGAACACTACAATTTTCTTGAGCATTGTCATTGACCCTCTGCAGCTTACTTGCAGCCTCCCTGCAGCCTCCTTGCAGCTTTCCTGCAACCTCCCTGCAACCTCCCTGCAACTTTCATGCAACTATCAGTCAACCGGTGACTTACAAATTCATTAGTGTCTCGAAATTCAACTTAACCCTTGTCCATGCCACTCTCATGCTTCAGTCATTCTCAGGCTTCGACACTCTCAGGCTTCGACATTCTCATGTTTCGACACTTACGATTTGAGGATTGTTGGAATTTTTTTGGCAAATTGATATTACATGTCCAATCAACATACAGCATATCACAGCTGATATTTTCAAATTCAAGTTGAATATGGTTTTCAACCATGTTCAATGTTCAACTTGAGGATGAGTGTTGAAATATCTAATTTAAATTACAAGATTTATTACTTTTCCTGTTAAGACTTATAATATGAAATAATTTATCCATAGAAAAAGTTATGACGAATAAATTATTTCCTTAATATAAGAATATATTTTCTTTTTATATATAAGGAATTACTTGTTTTCCTATTTTATATTATTTTCTATTATCTCCTAATAATTAATATGAATTAAATATTAGAGATATCAGATGATATCTTTTGAGAAGTTTCTTCCTTCATTCAATTCACATGTTATCTATTTTGAGAAAGAGAGTCTATAATTTTTGTTAATGTCCCTTTCTCTGAAGATGTGTTCAGAGAAAACTGTTTTTGCTATTAGACTCAAAAGCAAATATTGGCATTTCGACAAAGAAATCCCTCATACCATTAAGGGACTCTTTATTTTCGTAGAATGATTTTGGAACTCATACATACTAGCTGTATGAAGCTCCTATTGCTTCCCCTCTTCTTTCTGCTATATGCATAGTTTTATTGTTGTTCATCGTTTTGGTGATGACTCCTAAATGAAGGAAAATAGTACGAGCTCATATTCTTTCTCTTTGCACTTATTTTGCACTTTTGTTATTTAGTTACAGGTCTCCTTTCATTGTATGTAAGCCTCTTTTATTTCTGCCTCTTTGAAGAGTTATATTTAAATTTTCCCAAAATTTTTAGTCAAATTTTGAATTATTAATGTTAATGAGGCCCAATAACTTACGGAAGTCATAGTAGTTGGAGCGATTATTGCGTGCGAAGGGCGCGCGCAGAGCTGCTCGCGCCCTCCGATCACAGCCGCACATCGCGGCTATATGACAGTGGTCCGTGCGGCCTCCACATCTAATAATTAGACTAGTAGTTGAGGGTTTATTTTATCACCGTGAAGTTGCAAGTTCGAATCATACATTTTGCCCTTTCGGCCTAAACTTTCCTATATTGAAAAAAATATTAACGAGTTTTAATTAACGGAGAGATGTTAATTTAATGTTTTTAATTTTAATAATCATTGTTTGTTTATTAAAAAATAATTTAAATAAATTGGCACTGCATATCATTTAATTTAACTAAGTATAAATTACTATGCTTTGTTAATTTTATAAATTATTGATTAATAATTAATTTGGATGTCATCTTATGGTAATTATGATTCAAAATCTTAAATAATTTTCTTAAATTTTTAATTAATAGTCTAATGATTAAATATAGTTACATTAGCTATTAAATTAGTTTAATGATTTAGTGATTAATATCCTTTAACCTTATCATCAATAATAATTACTAAAATTTTATTCGAATCACCGAATTTAAATTCCTAAATTAATCAGCCAAATAATTTATGAAAATACCATGCCAAGATCTGCCCAAACAACCATTTGGCAGTGTAATGCTCTCTCCACTAACACGGTACTGTAACCGATGCAGTCTGTAACGGTCATTTTTTTCAATCTCATTCGAAATTTGAAACTAACCCATATGCTCTAACCCTTCGTCATTTTCGAGCGCCCCGATAGAGTAACCGATAGTTCCTTTGGAGAAGAAGAAGAAGAAGAAGAGAAAGGGAAGAAGATTTCTGATGGATCCATTCAAGAGAAGTAACCCACTAAATTCACAGACAAATCTGAACCGTTCAGGTATGAATATTACGGATTTCCATCTCCATCTTCACCCTCGCCTTTCTTTTCTTGTAAATCTGTCTGATTCTTGCTAGAACTCAAACGAAGAAAGGATTCCTGTACTAGTGTTGCAGAGACTGACGAGAATGAGTTCTCTTTTCATCACAACGAAGCCCCAACGAAGTCGCGCGATTTGAAGGCTGAACAAAAGAAGATCGCTTTGTTCTCGAATACTCCATCATCTTTCAAGAAGAAGATCTTGGCTGAGAGGAAAGAAGACTTGTTGCTGGATTCTTCTCAAAGATCTTATCTTGAGGGCACCCCTCAATCTAATAAATGCATGCAATGTGTGCATCCAAGGGGAGCCTCCTTCCATAACTCACCCATCTCCTTGCATTCTTATGATCCTTTTACTAATTACACCTCCCCGAGGCCAAAGTTTCTTCGCTACAATCCTAATCGACGGAGAGAACTCCTTAAACGCATTAAAGGAGAGAGGAGGGAAAATGAAGGGGCACACTCGGCATCTTCCATTTCCTCTTTAGATTCTTCAAGTACGAGGGAAAATGAGAATGAGCATGAAGAGGAAGAGGAGTTGAAGGAGAAGCCGTTTTATTCATGTGTGGTTTGGAGTTTGATTCCTATATTTGTAGTTTTATTGTTCATTTCATATTGCATGATTTCTGGTTATCCTTCTATTGGAGGATATGAGAGCCCTGCAGCTAATATTCAGAAGATTCAGGGTGGGACTCCTCTTAGATTGGAAGGGAAAGACCTATTTTCGAAAAATTTGTTGGGGAGATTCATGAGCTTGTCTGAGATGTGCCCAATTGTTGAGGAATCATTATGTTACCTTGATAAAAATTTATCTGTTTCACTAGAGATTGACGGAGTTATTAGAAGAGAGCGCGCAGGAAAGGAAAAATCATTGAGTGAAAGAATCAGAAGTGAGTTGTCTACTGAAGTTAATCATTTGTTACTAAAACAAGGAGGTTTGGTCGATGATGGTTCTGTGGATAAAGAAAAGATGGATCTGGGTCAAAACCTGATGGATTTTGGTACATTGACTGAAGAAATCAAAGCAAATAAATATATCAGTAGCGTTGAGACTCTGAAAGAAAACAAACTCTCTAGCTCAAGTGTTGAATCCTCACTAGTTTCAGTAGTCCAACATGTTTCTGATAGCTTGTCCACAATTAAAGAAGATAAATTTCAGAATCCGAGCTTGGACTCAATTGAGCTTTCAACGATTTCTCATTCAGCACTAGAAGAGAGTACTTCTCTAAACGATCATGGCCTTCACAACTTCAACTTCTCAGCAGCCTGTGATACAGAACTTAAGTCAGATTACAGTTCTAGCATTCTCTCAGAAGAGGCACTTCGCATTTTTTCCATCTTCATTGGTTTATTGATCATTGTAGTTGGGTTGTTATGTTCTTTTCATAAATATTTTCGAAGTCAGAAATTGAACTCATTGCACGTATTTTCATCTCCACCTTCATCTGAATTCTGTCTGAAATCAGAAACTGAGAAAAACACAGTTACTAACTTTCCAATGAAGGAAGAAGATGTAGGTAAGGCAGCAACATCTCAGTAGAAAACAATTAAAGTAGATTAAATATTATGTCTTCTACATCTGATCATTTTTTGAATATTGAATCGATCAAAACAACAGATTTTGGACGACCAAGAGTAAAATTGCTTGGAGAATTCTCACCCTTTGATGCAAGGTTCACTAATAATGGCTCTGGTTCAAATTTTAAAAAAATGGAGCAACCGAACTCACGGTTTTCTTATTATCAAAAAGGAATAGGAAGGAAGATATCTTCTTCCTTGCCTGATATGTTAGATTCGTCTCCTGAGAAATCAAATTCCAGCAGATTCTCTTCAAAGGTAATGCTTTTGAAAAAAAATATATATAGCAATGTGCTTAAGCTTGACTGAATTATGTTAATTCTTCAGTTTAGAAACAGAAATTTCCTTGTGCGCTTTTTGAATGAGAAGTTTTCATCAGCATTTTGATAAGATAGATATGCAAGGGTCGATTTACATGATTATGATACTTCTATAATCACTTAATTACACTATTTTCTTGCAAACAAAACTAGTGTTTTAGAATTAGATATTCACAATAATATGTTATATGACTGCGTTTTTTTTTTATTTATTTCCCGCCCTGAAGTTCTCGCAGGCCAGAAATTATGATGATGTAGGTGAAGATAGAAAACAAGGCCTCGAAAAGACTAGTTTTTTCTCAAAATTTCATGCGTTTTTATCAACCTTTATAGCCTAAAGATCCTAAGATTTCACCAAGCTTTTATTTTTTCTTTCTTTGTCTCATTTGAATGGGGTTGTACACAAGAACTAAAGGAATAATTTTTCTTTCACTCTGAAAACATTGTCTTCTCTGCTGAAGTTATTTATTTCAACTAGTTGGATGAACTCAAAATTTAATTTTGATCCATTTGAAATAGGTTCCTACTGATAAAGGTGAGCTATCAAACTCTTCTGCTACTTCTTCTTTGAGACGTTCAAGCCGGCTTCAAAATCGAAAACAAGTAATATGTTCATGACCTATGGTGGTTCGGCTTTGGGCAAGCTATTGTTTCTTGTTCTTAATTAACTCTCATAAACTAGTGAGATTGACCATACTGATTGGTTTTCTTTTTGCACCTCTGAATTTTTGTTAGCCACATGAAAACAAGCATCTTGATGTAATGACATGAATCAAACTTAAAATTTTCACACGGCCATGGAAATAGTTTTTCCTGTATAAGAAGTTACTAATCTGACCTATTCATTTGTTTTTTTTTCTTTCTTTTTTTTTTTGTCATGATGTGATTGAAATGAAATGTTGCTTATTTTCAACAAACATGGTGTTAGAGTGGATTTTTCTGTCTTGTTGAATTCTGATTATTGATGATTTAATTTGAATGAGTTAATGTGGCTCTTGTTGAACAAGTTGGAGCATAATTTCAACCATTTTTTTTAGCATTCACATGCCTTTAGTGATCACATTAGTCTAAAATGCAGGCTTAGTTGAAGAATGTGTCCTTATATGCCTCTCAAAGAAAATAAAATAATTTTAATAGGTCTTATTTTGATGATTATAAATATAATGTGACTGAAAATTTGTTCATTTGTAAAGCAAACTAAAGTGTAAAATAGGTATTGTTTATATTGTTATGCCCAAAAGAAAGGTTGTGCTGAAAAATTGTTATAATATCAACTGACATCTACTCAAGAATTATTTGTATTGTAATGATTCTTTGTTCTTCTGGATTATAACTCTGAAATACCATAAGGTGAACTGAAAAGACTATGAAACTATCTGTAAACCTTGTATTTTAATTTATAAGGCCAAGGTTGATCTTATCAAGAGAGAATCAATAATTTGTTCTTTAGCTAACACATTATGTACATGTTTAAGAGGCTTGGTCGAGGCTAGCTTGTAGAGCAAGAATAGCTCAAGCGACGAGAGGAGAGGATTGAGTGGATATGTGTGCGCTCACCAAAGTTTAAAATGATTATGCAGTCATCAATTGTTTTCACAGACTTTGCACAAATAAATATAATTTCATTATATAATAATTAGAAGAGTGCTATATGGCTGATAATTGATATTTGTAAACTCATGGATATATGGTCATATGATGTCTGGTTTCCATGATTTGAAATTGAATTTGGGTTAGTTATAGTGTAACCTATGAATTAAGGATATGGCTAATCATGCAAGGAAAAAAAATTATAAAATAGAAGTAAGATACAAATTGAAAATTTTTAATAACATAGAAGTGGATATGTGTGCGCTCACCAAAGTTTAAAATGATTATGCAGTCATCAATTGTTTTCACAGACTTTGCACAAATAAATATAATTTCATTATATAATAATTAGAAGAGTGCTATATGGCTGATAATTGATATTTGTAAACTCATGGATATATGGTCATATGATGTCTGGTTTCCATGATTTGAAATTGAATTTGGGTTAGTTATAGTGTAACCTATGAATTAAGGATATGGCTAATCATGCAAGGAAAAAAAATTATAAAATAGAAGTAAGATACAAATTGAAAATTTTTAATAACATAGAAATGGAAGGAGACTGTATTCAGTGGGTTTAGTCTTTATTTATACTTGCTTGAGTGCCCAACTCTTGAGTATTACAGACAATAAAAATGTGTTTCCATCAATTTTCAAATCAAGGAGAATGTTTATGGCCTTTATGAAAACTTGTGTGGCCCTTAAATTAAGCATGTGTGATTTCGTCATAAAGGGACAAATTTTTTGCTTGGCTATCTTATTCTTTGAGTTGCTGATGATGGTTATTGATAATGATGCTTGTTGATGTCATGTTCTTATTTAATTCTTGATCATGCATTTGTGTTGTGTCATTTTATTCTTAACATAATTCATAAAGGTGAAATTATATTTTATTTAGTAAACTTTTAGAAAAGAGAACTAAGACATCTCAATATGAAGTTAGATTTAAAACTAAATCTCTCATAGAGACTTGAAATAAATACTAGGGTATGACACTTAAAATTTAATGTGAATTATCGTGTGGAACCTAAGAAAGCTTGACAAACTTGAATAGATTGAGAGAATTGATACAATGCATCATAGACCAGGCCCATGACAATATAGAAACTGGTGCTTTCTCTAGTAAAATTACTTGGCTTAACTAGTTCAAGTTAATCTTCTCTCAAGACATTGTGTTTTCTTGTTTGTTTTTTATTTCCTTTGATATCTTCATATTAATATATATATATATATATATTATAAGATATGTATGTGTGCATGTTGACCCTCACATATAATCCACAAGATGAGCCAATTGAACATCGCGCGATTGTCAAAATGCCTTGGCAACTGCCAAAATTGATCTTAATAATGCCAGCTTGTAAAACGGCGCCCACAATTGGGTTTTGAACGTTGAAATTAACCAAGGGGGATTCTTTCATGATTGGAAGTAGCGGAGCAAAGCATGAACGATAAGCTAACAGCCAAACATGCTTAATTCGAGTTCAAATCACTTTAACCATCCTCAAATGACGTTCAATAAAAAATAAAATGCAAGAGCTCACCTAATGTGATGTGTGCATATGCAAATGATTCTAATGTGGGTAGAATAGTAAGATCTTGTATGTGAAATTCATGCAGGTGTGTTAAAGCCATTGCCTCACTGCATCGCCCCCACGACACGAAAGTTATAACACTCGTGATTTTTGAAACGTCTATTGCAAGGCATTTGGCGCATCAGGTAGGCAAATAAAAAAGCTTCTAAAACAATTATTTCGACTCATTTGACTCGACCAAGGGGAGTCCTATACCGTTCTTCTTAGCCTGGTGGGGTGAAGCTCGTACGCGACGATCGAGATGCAATAGACAATTTTAAATTAAATACTCGTACGCGTCTTTTCTTGATGAGGGAAATATATTGCAAGTGCCTGAGATACAAGTGACAGCAGTACACACTTTTTTTGGCATGGCGGGGTATCATCTTGCAATTTTAAAGTCTCGTACACACATGTCTTTGGATGGCGGGATACACTACTATATGGTCATAGTGCAAGCCACTCATACACTTCTTTCTTGGCATGGTGGGTAGATCTAAACTTACGATGCAACCCTCCCAATGGTGGATGATTCCTGGAGGCTGTCACAATGCTACCTCAATGTTGTTGGATTTTGGTCAGTAAGTCATAAAAGAGCAATTAAATTGAATTTACTTGGACCTAAATACAATATGAATGAAAGGTCCTTAGCTACATAGTAAAGACTAAATTGTTTACATAAATCATCTTAAAAGAGGTAATTAAATATAAATAAAACTTGCACGACTCACGGGAGACTCACGACTCGTTAACGAGTTCGAATGAAACCAATGGGAGGTCCACTTGAATACTCAAATGAGAGCTATGTATGAGAGAGAGACATACTTTCAAATATGCAATCGAAGTCTGGATCGCCTTCATCGTCGCCAGATCTGCAACCCCAAATGTACAAGCAAACAAAAAGCAATACTAAAAGCTTAAAATAAAAATATTTGCACTCATGTTAATGATAATATGCACGTGCAATTAATCTTAAAAATCCTATAAAATTAGTCAAAATTGACAAATATGAAGTTTTTTGCGTGTGCTCCGACCAACGTGTAGAACGTTCGATCATAAGATTTGAGAATATTGTGTTGGTTAAACAAATGCTTAAGTTCAAACTAATCTGTCGTAAAATATGTGCAAAACTATTTAAAGATCTCAACTCAACAAATGTAAAATGCATACATGTGCTCCGACGTGCCTCTAAATATTTAAGCTTAGGCGTTAGAGAATGATGCACGGGCAATATGTCGCCTTCCTTATATGACTAGGTCGTAAGTCTCACACTTTGGCTAATCCAATCATCCCCCCTATAGGGACTGGAGTTGAAATCAATCAACCCTCACTTTGGCCCATCTGATCCTTTTTCTTACAATGAATGGAGCCAATTGGATTGCGCCCACAATGAGTCAGTCTGATTATTCTCCATATGTGGGCTGGGGTTGACATGGTTGTTGCTTTTAATAGTGTAAGTTAGAATATTTCCCGATTATGGCCGAGTTGATAGAATATTTCAACCAGAGAGATATATTTCAAAGTTGTCTCAAAGTCTATTTTAAAGTCAATTATTTCAATTATTGAACCTGATTCTTAGTAAGCAGGACATGGTTGACTTCAGAGACACATTTCCTCGATAATGGGTGGGTTGATAGAATATTTCAACCGGATTGGTCAATTTTAAAATTATTTCTCAAAGTCTATTTTAAATTCAATTATTTCAATTATGAACTCGATACTCCGTGAGTGAGACAGAGTCGACATGGTATAAAGGCATCAATCCTCGATGATGATCGTGAATTTCAACCAGAGAGGCTTATTTATAAATATAAATTATTTAAGATCATAAAAAAAATAATAATATATTAAATAAAAAATTATGCCATCTAATGCTTTAAAGCAAAATTACATACACCCTCCGCAACCGTTTTCGGGGTGGACTAATGTAATACTAACTCGAGCTCACAAAAAGCCAATGTCATATCGAACATACCACTAAATTCAAACTCAAAACAATCTCATGCAAGGAAATGACCTGAGTCCTCTATCTGCGTCATCTTGTCGTCAAATGACACCACAAATAAGCTGTTACGACCAAAGCCCTCGAATATAGTGGTTTGCTGCCAAATGACACTATTATATTACTTTCATGGTTGTAGCCCGTATGTTCCCCAATGGTACTTTTCCCTTTTGAGTGTTAAATCATATGGTATATTTGATAAGTCAAAAAACTATTTTTAAGTTAAAATCGAATTAGATTAGTTCTCTTAGACAAATATTCACCCCGGCTTTACAAGGCCCCCTTAGACCAAGTAACCCTTGGTTGCTGACAAGGATCCTTTAGTCAGGTTGTGTTGACTGCCTCTGCTGACTAAGTAGATTAGGGTCCATGATAACCCGAGATGACAGAACCATGAAAACTTGATCAAGTTTGTCATCTTTTCCCCCACCATCCGCTTTTAGCTCATGATGATAATTTTGTGCTAAGTCTGCATGCTTAGCGCCTAATGACTAGCCTTAATCGAAAGTGATCTCCCGTTATCCGGGGTAATTAGCCATAGGGACTTGCGCATATGGGAAATCTCGAACCCCAGATCTTAAAGCCCTCACAAAATGAGGGCGAAATCTATGGATAGTGTTTTATCTACTATTTCATCAGCCTTCTAAAAATTTGACTTGGAACCTTAACAAACATCGTGTAGAGCCTAAACAAATATCGTGTTAAGCTCTCAACGAGAGTTTGGTGCACTTTTTCGAATTTTTGGAGCCCACAGAGCATTATCCCTCAATCACCAATGAGGTGTTTATATGTCCATAGCAAGCAAGTGTTGTAAAGAATTTGAAAATGACTCAACCCTACCACTTTCCAACATAAGGAAGTGCATTGTGGTGGTTCCGATCCCAAATACTCTCAAGTATCCAGAGGACATGTTCTCAAGTCTCGATACTTCTTTCAAATGCCCATAAACCACCTAAGGGAATTCTTGGTCATTGCAGCATCTTAATCACTCACTCTTTAAAACTAATATAAATGAACCAGCAAATTCAAGCATTCAATCTACTTAGCTTTTTCACATACAACCAAAAGCATTTCTTCACAATCCATGCGCAAAACACAGCATCAGATCCATACTATATTTCGGCTTCATCCATCATAACATGACATGGAAATGCCTTCAAACGTATGTTCATAAGCTTATAAATGATGAACAATTCTCCATTCATATGCTTATAAGATGTTTGAACATTATTTAGCCAGGTATGAATAAAGTATAACTATAATTAGATGTTATGCATACATTTTCTCCACAATGATCTCCACCTAAGGTATTTCTATACAAGGTTTGCATTTTTATACCACTTCCTTTAATTAAACTAATTCACAAAGCATATTTTAGTTGTTATAAAAACGATTTCTTTAATTTATAATGCATTACAAGCATTAGAGTTGATATTTTCGGACAACCATTTCGCTTTCATTTTTTCTAAAGTATCAGACAAAATAAGATTTCCACACATACCACTTGATTCTCATATTTTTACATATGCAAAAATCAAATTTCAATTTTTACATGCATTCTACATTGTATGATCTTCTACACATGAAAAAAAGTGTATTTCACAACATTTCAAGGAAACTAATGAGCATCCAACACATAATTTACCCTGCATGCTAAAACTTGTGCACAACAAATAATAGGCAGCCATTCATGTTGGCCAGCATAAAATCAAAACACAAAATGAGGGGTATAATAATAAAGCACCAATAATAGCCAAAAAAAAGTGAAAAATGCAGCAATTATTACACGACATCACTGACAACAATTCCTAGAAAATATCAAATGAAAAATCACACGTCCATTGACACGCCATTCAACAAGTTGCAGAAGCCATCAAATATAAACAAAGGTAGCGAGAAAACCAGTTATTTTGACTCTTAAATGGGGGAACATGATTCAGCACAAGTTCCCCATAAAACCAAAATGATTTGGGGTCCATTATTCATTGGTGTAGATGCAGCAAGCACATGTGGAAGAAATAAAATCTCAAGAGATACAACTGTGAAAAGATGTGATGCAACGCAAATTTAAAAATTTTGTTCGATGAGATAGTCGCCGAGCCTCTCAACGACCATATTGCACTGTCCAGGAGCCATTGGCTCATCATAAATGCCTATGATCAAAGCCAGGTTTGTTTTCTTTATGGTAATGCCTCCAGATCCCTGCAAGCAGTACATAGAATAACAACAAATCTGATGATTCTAATTTGAAAAAAAAAAAAAAATGTCTAACATAGTTATAGTATTTCACAATGAAACACTTCCATATACCATAAAATTTTTTTATTACACGACATCACTGACAACAATTCCTAGAAATATCAAATGAAAAATCACGTCCATTGGCACGCCATTCAACAAGTTGCAGAAGCCATCAAATATAAACAAAGGTAGCGAGAAAACCAGTTATTTTGACTCTTAAATGGGGGAACATGATTAAGCACAAGTTCCCCATAAAACCAAAATGATTTGGGGTCCATTATTCATTGGTGTAGATGCAGCAAGCACATGTGGAAGAAATAAAATCTCAAGAGATACAACTGTGAAAAGATGAGATGCAACGCAAATTTAAAAATTTTGTTCGATGAGATAGTCGCCGAGCCTCTCAACGACCATATTGCACTGTCCAGGAGCCATTGGCTCATCATAAATGCCTATGATCAAAGCCAGGTTTGTTTTCTTTATGGTAATGCCTCCAGATCCCTGCAAGCAGTACATAGAATAACAACAAATTTGATGATTCTAATTTGAAAAATAAAAAAAAATGTCTAACATAGTTATAGCATTTCACAATGAAACACTTCCATATACCATAAATTTTTCTATGCAACACTTCCATATACTTTATATGAAACACTTCCATATATATTAAATTTTTTTAGTACTTTTTTAATTCTACTAAATTTTGCCCAGTGCAATACAACCTTAAATTCTAGAATTAATGAAACTAGTGATATTTTTTAAAATTATTATATAACACTTAATCAGAAGGAATTATTACATATATCTTATTCTTCCAAGAATTGCTTGGCGTTATCTTGTGTGCATATAATAAGGAAAATAAGGGTAATGACACAAAAGCTCTCCTATCCCTCGTGTGAAAGTGGGCTTATACAAGGTGTTCGCCTTCATAATAATTTAACCATGGATCAAGCAATAGAAATAGCAAGAATAATTACAATACATGAATTTATTGAATTTTAAGCCATATTAAAGGTTTTAAAAATTGAAATTATAATTAACTTCTCATGAAACGAAGTCATCCATCAAATAAATTTTCAAGTATTCGATTAGTAGCCAAACAACCCAAAGAGTTCTTTATTTGTGTACACCCATGCGCTGTGTGTATATTTTTCTCTTGTTTTCTCATGAATGCAATATATAATATTGAATATCAATTTTTATATTTTGCATAAATAAATAATACCCACCCCCCCCCCCCCCCCAAAAAAAAAAAAGAAAAAAAATATTATCATAGACTCAACAAAGAAAAAGCTTCTTGAGGGACAAAGTTCTATACAATTGAATATATTTTGTTGAACCATTATCTTGGCAAGACTTATAACTTATTAGTTTACATGACCATCTGGATTAATGTATCATGCATCAACCAAAAATTAGAAGAGAGAATCTTACAACTTACCTTCTTCCCACGAATAACTGCCCCAGGTTCACCTTGAATAACCATATATTTAGTGTTGCCAAGATATAAACCAGTTGGTGCAAGATGTCCAGGTTCATTGAAGTCAGTCATAATGCCATTAATTTCTTCAGGCTTGTACTGAAAATCAAACAAAGAAACACAATAAGAGGAGGCATTTGCAGTAAAAACAAGGTTAAATGGATCAGCTTCACAATTCTAATGTTGAAAATTTTATTCCAATAAACAATAAATAATAGAGGAAGATTACGGAATAAAAACAGAATATTTGATATTTGAATCTTCTACATATGCCTAGATAATTATAGTATCACAATTTGCGTCAAGCCATAGAAAATTAATACTATTGACATTGGCATCTTTTGAAAGCAGTTTAGGTATATTACAGTCACCATCGTCTATGCTGTCCTAAGAAATACATATGATGATACAAACTGTTAAGTTATTTAAGTTGTAGAAATATTGCATGATTCGCATATCCATGAAATTTCTATCAATGCAAACAATAATCCAAAGTTTGACAACTAAGCTCTCATGGATCAGAAGAAGAAGATAAAATATTAGAGCACCATTATTTGTTCTGACAAAAAAACCACATCATATTTTATTTATCTCCATTTGAAAAAATGTTGGATATGTTCAAGAATCAGTTCACATGTTCCTCGGGAGAAAAAACAAGATGTGTCAGGTTATTAGCAAGTCGTCCATTTACAAACCAGTAGCAGGCACCAAAAACAATTGGCATCTACAAAAAAAAAATTCTCATCACAAAGGACTAAAGCATGATTTGAAAAATTAGTTTCAACATTAAATTAAATTGCAACTAATTTCAGCTAATTTAACTAAAAACAGAAAATGATTAGAGAATCCACAAATCTACAAAAAAAGGGGGTGGACTAACACAAACAAAGAAATAAATGGACAAAAAACTGTTTTGAATTGTAACCTAGGTTGCACAAAAACTCTGTGCTGAAGTTGGAACTGAAAGTTATTCGGAGCAGAGAACCTAACAAAATAAAAGAACAACTCATCAGCAGCATCCAGAAACTGATACATTGTTTTATAGGAGCCAGCAAACTTGGGAGTCTAAATCCAATATGTAAAGCTTTTAGGCTAAATATATCATATCTTAACCAAATGAGGTACTAAAAGCTCCTCACAGAAAAAATGACCTGAAACTATTCCAAAGAAGAGGTTATAAATATTCCTTCTTTGCAAAATGTATTACACCAATTATTTTTCACGGAGAATGTCGTATTATGGTATAAGAGTCCCCTTTGAACCATAATACTATGGAGAGAATTCCCTTTAAACAATGAGCTATTCTCACATGATTTATGGCATAGCGCTCTCCATTTTTGGGGGAAAAAATCATTAATAATATTCTAAAATTAACGAACTAAAAGAGAAATTATCTTAAAACTAGAAAAAATCATACCTAGAAAATTAGTTTGCTCAATTTTAATATGCATTTAAGTGAATAAAAAAATTGAATAAATAAAACAATCAAGGAAAAAAGTAATTAGATCGGCGAATGAAATTATCATGGTTGTCACAATATAGAATAATAGAATAATATGTAAAGCAATGGTATTTAGAATCTCTTATAGAAATATAATAAAAAAATAACAATACCAATATTCAATAATATGAAATGGTTCAATCCAAACCAAATATTTAAATTTGGTAAATTACACTACCCATCCTAATCAGAGTTGCCATCATTATCATAATCATCAATCTAAATAGTCAGATTCCTCGCTATCATGTGCCATAGCATAATCTTCATCATATCTTTCAACATCTTCATCAAAAAGTATTCACAGCCTAAATGAAGTTGCATTTTCTTTCGCTTTAGAATAGTCTATAAGATGTTATAGCTTGTTTCATAGACACCACTAATCCTTGCAAAGATACCCCAAGCGAAATCTTCTTCACTAAACATCAGTTAAATCTCTTCAGCAGAGTCATCACCTAAATGTTCATATCCACTACTAGTACAATCAACAATAATAAAAACCAAACACTTTCTATTTTGGTAAGTCAAAACATTAGAAAACAACCAGATTTGAAACAATCTTATT